GAGTCTTAAAAAAGAGGTATCTTTACTTTTGTGTGAAGCATGCTTTTTTGTCAGTGTCGTTTCTTAGGCGACAGAGGGTATTTTCTTCATATATTTTCTTCATAAAGGCTGGATTGTTTTGTAGCTAACCTGATTTGACTATAGCACACTGCCCGGTGGGAAGCACTAAACCTCTTATTTGAAGCTAAACAGGATTACTCAAGAGGCTGGCATCCACAAGCCTGCTATTCTTGCATCGGGTTAGGGGGCTGTGGCACACCCGCACAGTTCCACTAATTGAACTCTTCAGGTCCTTCAGTTGCAAATAGTTAGCTGCAGAAGGGCCTTGCCATGGGTACGCAAGAAATCGCTAACCGCTTGATTTCCCCACGTTAGCTTAATGAGGAAGAATGGGTCACCATGCCAACGAAAACACCATAGTAATAGGGTTAGAAGCACATTTCCCCTGATATTTGCCTGTGATTAGGGTTCTATCATGCACTTCAAATTCTGTAGCGTGTCACAGTAAGCTGAAATATGATTTAAAATCACTGTCACCTAGTTTGATGCATGTAAACGGCTGTGGTCAGGGAACCTGAATTCCACTTTATTCCATTAAAAGTAAATAAATAAATAAAAAATTACTGCAGCGTTAATTTGAAATTACTTGTTTTCTTTTGCTGACAGCTTTTAGATGCTGGCGTAACAAAGCCTACGATAAAATTTCATTTGGTTTTGAAGAGCTTTATTTATTTATTTATTTATTTATTTCCAACTCTTTTTAAAATAGGCATTGTTTTAAGAGTAGGTACAAGTTTACCTACAAAATAAATACGTAAATAAAAATCTAGAAGCAAAGTGACAACCTCATATACATTATTTTCCCTGCCAACACCATTTTGCATTCAGATAACAGATAAAATAGTAGCAAAAATCTGTACCTTATCCATCCAACCCTACCCTGCCTTAACCCTCACATCCCATGATGATTGTGTACCCATACCATGCAAGAGAAAACATTACATTTGTCCTAGTCTCATAGTCTTGATCTTGACAGTTTCTGAAACTTTGTTCTAGATGGCTGAATTTTGAAGATTCCTAGTTAGCTGTCTTCATTTTGAATTTGCCTTTTAAAAATGAGTTCGACTGCTTTGAGTTTTGAGGGGAAAAAGTGACCGTTTCATCACATCGTGTCTAGGATATATGCTTGCAGTGTGACATCACCGTTAGAGTTGACTTTGATCATCTGTAAGACTGATTTCTAAGGTTCCTCAGCCACGAAGAGGTCTCCTTCCAAAACTCCTACTTTGATACTCTGATGGGAAGGAAGTCATTATGCACAGGTCTCATTTAGGTTGTGAGAGAGAATTATACTCCCCTTCTTTATAGGTATAATATGTATATAAATTACTTAGAGTTCACTTACAAAAGCAGATCCATGATAAATGTACCATATAGACTTATGATACTTTGTTCAGGTTACTCCAGCTGGGTTCCTTCAGACACTTGACATTAGTCTTATGCTATGCATATACTGAACACAGGTTGCTCTGAGTGTCTCTTGACTATTTCCTGTCCTAGCTCGAGAATCATCCCATGTTTCCAAGAGGCTTTGTTTTGTTTGTTTGGATTTTTTAAATTAAAAAGCAAAGATCCAGATACAGGGTTACTAACAGTCACTTAGATACACATAAACGAAAATTTTAATGAGAATATAAGTTATTCAGACATTGCAACTGAGATGCTGCATGATCCTCTTGGACTTCTTTTCCCTAGAGTTGTTTTTTTCCTACTCTAAATAAAATGATCGTGTTACAGCTAGTGACTAATATATTGGTGACGATTATGAGGGATTCCAATGTAGGCTAATAGTTTGATTATAACTGGGATAATAAAGGGTGGGAAGAAGGCCCAGTGGGTGAGGCGCTTGCTGTGTTAGCATGAGAACCAGAGTTCGGATCCCCAGGAATAAGTCCTGGGCAGAGTGGCACACAGCTGTAATCTCAGCTCTGAGAAGCAAAATAGGGGGATCCCAGAGGCCCCCTGACCACCTAGACTAGACCATCAGTACATGCAAGTTAGTGACCCACTGTCTCAAAAAAGATAAGCTGTAGAGCAATGGAGGAAGATGGTGGATATTCGACTTGGCCTGTGCTGTGTACACACACACAAGCATTTGCTTATACATGTACCTGGAATCCAGACACCTTCAGTGTAGTTTGATATCTAGATTTTTATGTTGACTGCCTCCTTTTGGTTAGCAAATTATAATCTATAAATTACTGTAGGTGAATTAATTTTTATCTCTTAAATGATTTATTATACCAAGTTATATGTTTAGCTAGTGTTCTAATGACTTCTGTTGGTTGTTAAATTTAATGGGAAACATTATTGTTTGTTACAGAATCAGAATAAATAAATGCTATTTTAATACAAAAAAGTTTTTTCACCCCCAACCTTCAAATTCTTACCTCAGAAAATCTGATTAAGGTCATCCTTTGACTCTTTTTGCATCTTTTAAAATACCAGCCATTAAAATTTCTTCTATCTTATCTTTTTCTATGTGGTGAAAAAAATGTCTCTTCTTGAATATAGAAGCTCCTTATTAGGGAAACTCATTTTTCTTTTAAATTGACACAGACTACCGTCATGGACAGCTTGATTACAGAAAAAAACTTTGACTAACCACATAAATACATTATAGGAGGAGATAATTCCCAATTATACTTAAAACCATTCTTTCTTGGCACATATTCAAGCCATGGTGAGTTTGTATTCATGTTTTGTGGGACTAATTTGGGGCCAGAGGAGAGCGAAGAGAAATTCTGTATTATGGATAAAAGCAAAGTTGTGACTATGGTGGTAAATGAAGGGTACCAAATAGCTGGTATATGGTTGTTGTGTCTGCAGAGTCTTTCTTATGATTTTTATCTACTTTCTTCTTAGACGCACTATCATCGCCAAGGGCTTAATTTGGAATTAAATGAGCCTTATGCTTAAGTAATTCATTCTCATTAGTTTGCCAAAAATGAGTCTCATGATGGGTGTAATACTCCAAGGCAGAATGTTTACATTTTTGTCTCATTGAGATTTACATATTTCTTTTCACTTCCATTAATGTCCCCAAAAATCCGAGATCAGGAGATTGCGTTAGAGCTGTGTTCTTCAAGAGCAGTTTCCCGTGAACCACAGAGAGAGCTGTATTAGATGGGCTTGTTCCATTCACAAATGTCCCCGCACCAATGACCAGGCCAAGGTCTCCTTATTACCCTTCCTTTGTGCCACAGTTGAGAAGCGATCGATTTGATGTCTTGGATACGTCTCACACATTTCCCTAGTAAGCTATGGCTCCCTTCCTTTATTTAGGGTTTAGTTGTAAGCTATACACCTTATATTCCTAGCGCATTCTCATTGTATGGCTTTCCTGCATCTTGGTAGTTCTGGAAAAAAAAAAATCCTTCTACAAGTTTCACATTAGAAATCTGTGGCTGGAATATTTTGAGTTATTAAGTAAGTCTGAGCAACAAGGTAAGGAACTGCCTTGAAAAAAAAATTATTATCAATACTTGGTCCAATGCAGCTTTTCTTTGAACTTATGCATGAGTCACACTATAGGAGTTAAATTAGAAATTAAAACTTTCATCAGGGACTCATGGCACACACCTCTACTACTCCCAGCACTAAGGAGGTGGAGGCAGGCAGATCTCTGTGAGTTCAAAGCCAGCCTGGTCTATAGAGTGAGTTCCAGGACAGTCAGGGGTAAGAAGAGAAACTCTATCACAAAACAACCAAAAACCAAAAAGGGAATTAAAACTTCTGAAGATGTTAAGAAGATGAATAAAGTTTCGATGTGAGTGAGTGGAGATTTCTATTAGAAGCAACCCCTTTCTCCCTTTTTATATCTTTCATTGAGAAGGCACTCAGAGACATGCAGGTTGCCAGACAGTAGCTCACATGTGCTGTGGAAGTGAATCCCACAGCCTTGGACGGAAGTATTTTATATTAACTTACTGATTCAGGATCCCCTTAATGGTACCGCTTCCCCCCGTCCCCCCAACATAGTTTCAAACCTCGCCACTGTGCTAGAATACGTGTGAGAACACGAGGCTGTGATACCTACCCCTCCTCTGTCCTACACTGCCTTTGTGGACTTAGCTTTGGCTTGTTGCTTGCCAGGGATTGAACAGGGCCATGTACTTGCAGAGCAGATAATTCTGCTGCTGGGCTGCATCTCTGCCTGTGGTGCTTCACTGACAGGATCTGGGTAGCTGTAGCTAGTCTTGAACTTGTGGCCTTCCAGCCTCCGCCTCTGAATTGCTGACATTGGTTAAAGGAGTTAGCCAGGAAATTAAGAACATGGATGTCTTCTGACTTTCAGGATCTTCTTTCTCTTAAAGTCAGGAAATCCTTTATTAAATGTTAAAGACTGTGGAGATTGGTAAAACAAACTACCCTTGTGAGGAGCGTAATTAGACACTGTAAGTTACTCCTGTAGGATGGGTGTGAGTCGGGCCAGGGAACACCTGATTTGCACTTCCTGCAAGGAGATTCAAGACAGTAAAAACTGGCGTGGATGCAGCTAAAGGCCCAGGCGCTTCAGACCTGAGCAGTTTGCCCTTTGTGTTCCCTATGAAACTGCACTTATTATAGCGCGGATGTCATCAGGTGAAGGCTGATCTCACGCAGTGCCAGTGTCCTAGCCCTGCTCTTTTCTTGTGACCTTACACCCTGAGTTCTTAGAACTTAGATGCTTTTGGTCATTGATATTTTAGAATGGGAAAGGGGGGAAGGGAACGCTGTTTAGGCCAAGCTGTATACGAGCCAGGATTCCGGTCATTTTTTCAGGTGAATATTTCCCTAAGCCCGTTTCAAAGGAGTCGGGAATGAAGTTGTGTATTTGAGTCTCGGCGCTGTGATCTAAGCGCCGCTTGAAAACATATTTCAGCTCGACGTGTTAAATGCTCTCATGTTGCAGGCCTGATGAAGATGTTGACTTTTTTGTCCCTCTCTTTTGCTTTCAGAGGAAGAACTTGTCTCTCTTTCTCAGCGTTAGCTTGTTAACTTTCTGGGGGACCAGCCTTTTGGGTGCCCGGTTATACTGGATGGGAAACAGACCACCAAGCTTTTCCAACTCCGACAACCCTGCAGCCGACTCGGACAGCCTGTTGGCCCGCACACTCACCTTCTTCTACTTGCCTACCAAGAACCTCTGGCTGTTGTTGTGCCCGGACACCCTGAGCTTTGATTGGTCCATGGATGCCGTGCCTCTTCTCAAAACGGTTTGTGACTGGAGAAACCTTCACACTGTGGCCTTCTATTCTGGACTTCTCCTCCTCGCCTACTGTGGTCTGAAGAACCCGAGCTTGGAAAGAGAGTGCAATGGGAAAGCTGTGACAAATGGCAAACAGAATGCAAACGGCCATAGCTGCCACGCAGACATGGAGTACCGGAACTCAGAAATTAAGCCCAGCTTTGCATCCAAAGTGGAGAATGGCATTAAAAATAACATATCGCAGAGAACTCAGCTCCCTTCCACAGAGAACATTGTTGTTCTGTCCTTGTCTTTGTTGATAATTCCCTTTATTCCTGCCACGAACCTGTTTTTCTATGTTGGCTTTGTAATTGCAGAGCGAGTGTTATATATTCCCAGTATGGGCTTCTGCCTTCTGATCACAGTGGGTGCCCGAGCTCTTTATGTCAAAGTCCAAAGGAGGTTTCTCAAGAGCCTGGTTTTTTATGCTACAGCAATGTTAATTGTCTTCTACGGACTCAAGACGGCCGTCAGGAATGGAGACTGGCAAAATGAGGAGATGCTCTATAGGTCAGGGATAAAAGTAAACCCAGCCAAAGGTAAATGCTTCATTTTATGTTTTTGCCTGGACAATTTCTAATTTGAGCCTTCTTATAGCATTGTTTCTTGCCTTAAAACCGTGTTACAGACGAGACCCTTTTGTGTGAGTCCTGTACCTTCCATCCTTATTTTTGAAGAGACAGTCCAAAACCAATTGAGACACATACTCAGCATTCCATGCTAGCAACAATAGTGTTCATGCTTATGTCTCCACAGAAGATTCAGAACTTGTATTGACTGGAAATAAAGACTGTCATAAGAACATAGAAGAATGCTTACCATCTTCCCTTTAAAGTATTAATAATTGTCTCATTGTAGAATGAAAGTCAAGTTTATATCGCTTAAATATACTGTAGGTCTGGTTTTTAAAGAATTGCCTGAGGAAAAGACCACAGGACTTGGAGGTGAGCTACCTCTGGGTCTCATTATTGTGCATTCAGTGTAGGTGTGGTCACTGTAAGACTTGAAGAGGTTAAATGTGCTTGTGGCTGGCAAGCAGTTAGTCTGTTCTTAATTCAAGGTTTCTTAAGTAATTTAAGAGAGAAATCTTTTAATATAGAATAAGACTATGGATTGTGCCTTTATTGCTTTTATCGTGGAAACACTATTTTACCCAATCTCAAAATTGATAGGCATAGCAAAATCTACTTTTTGCTGAAACACAAACTAATAACTGTGGTGGATACAAAAGAAAAGGGGAAATACGATGCATTTTAGTGCACAATAAATGGTGCCTGATAGTTTTCAATTTTTTGAAGTAATTTTTTTCTTAGCCTTTACGGTGGAGCTATGAGTACACATTTGAACTTGGATTTTCCTGCTCTTTCTGACACAATTCTGCATCAAACTCCCCAAAACACCAAAGAGGCAAAATGCTTCCAAATATGTAAGACATGGCTTACTAACAACTTGAGATATGTTTCCATAGATCAAGATACTCAGAAATGACTTTGGCACCCTTGTTTAGGTGTCACATGCCAAGCCAGGAGTTCGTTGAGCACATACACACTTCATACACATCCAAGGCATTATTTCTGAATATTACTTTTAGTAAGTTTCAGAGGTTGTCCTTGAAAGAGTTGTTTATTTTATGTGTATGCATGAATGCCTACCTATATTTGTGTGTACTCTGTGCATGCCTAGTGACTGCAGAGGCTAGAAATGGGCATCAGGTTCCGTGGCACTGGAATTATAGGCAGGTATGATCTGCCTTTGTGTGTGCAGAACCCAGATCTTCTGTGGGAGCAACAAATGCTCTTAATGTCTGAGCTATCTCTCCAACCTGGGTTTCTAATGAGAACAGAAGGAAGAGTTGAGCTTGAGCTCCTCCATGCCATTCAATTTTTCAGTGGCTTTTCTAAGTGGTGCTCAAACCAAAAACTTGTTTAAAAAAAAAAAAAGTTTGAGTTTTTTGCAGAATGCTTTTCAGCTAGGTTTTCTTTGGTTGCCTGTACAAGTTTGGAAGAAGTCTATGTTGCCAGTGTCATTCCAAACTGATGCATGTAAGGAGTTAAAACAAAATCCCCAGAATGTTACTTGAATCAAAATGCTGCCCTGGGGATTTTTTTTAAAAAAATAATTTTTTTTTGGCTAAATTTTATGCTAAGCTGGTATTACAAAGGGCTCAGATAAGAGGAACTTCGGAAGATAGAAGCTATATTCTTTCATGTGGCAATCTCAACACATGCAGCTTGGGAACTGATAAGATGGCGCCATGGCTTGACAGAATCTCTGGTCCTTGTTTGTTCCCCTGCCCATCTCAATTGGTCAGCCTGCCCATGTCGTCTAAGATCGCTCATTAACACATCAGCACTTGGCTGATGGGAAGAGGGAGGGGAGGGGTAGAATGTGGGTATACCCATTCTCTCTCTTATGATACATGGAAGAAATTTGTATATACTTTGTTTGCCCGGGGATTGTTGGCTACATCTTTCTGTAAGAAAGATGGGGGAAATGTTTTCTATGGAAGACAAATGTCCAGCCAAATACCATTACCCCGATAGGCAGGGTGGGCAATATTCAGACGCAAAAGGGCCAGAGAGCAGTTTCTGCCGCACTTGGAAGCATTTTTAACCACACTGATGGTTATGACGTTTAAACCGGTGTTCTCATGGTATAAAGTACTTGGCCGTTTCTTTGTCACCGTAGTTAACTATCTAGTAAGCAACTTGCTTGGTATATCCCCATACTTTCTTCATAGCACTTCACAAGTGGCAAACGTCTTAGGTACTTTAACAAGGGCCGTTAAATAAATGAATGCGGGACTTGGCCAGCCTACTATGTTGCAGCCAGCTGCCTTGCCTGCTGTCCTGTGTGTTACTTGACAGCAACCCCATTTTTTCCAGTTAGTATGACTCCGGACCCAAGCGTTATTCACACCTGCCTATTCTTTCATTATTCTACATCCATTCTGTTAGTAATTTCCTCACCCTGTGTCTGCGGTAGTATAAACAGCACCTGACCACGTTGTCTAACTGACATGCCCTTGGGCATAGCTGCCATCATCTTCCACTAGGCAATGGTGATCAACCTTCCTAATGCCTCTGCCCTTTAACGCAGACCCTTACGTTGTGGTGACCCCCGACCATAAAATTACCTCATTGCTACTGTTAGGAGTTGTAATGTAAATGTCTGATATGTAGAATGTCTGAGCCGTGACCTCTTTGAGGGTTGAGACCCACAGGTTGAGAACCACTGCACTAGGCTGTTAAAAGTTATCTTCCTTAATTCTGAGCCTTTGTTTTCTTCCTCTTTCATCATGCCTTGTAATTTTTTTTTTAAAATTCCAGGCTGGACGTGCTGTATTTTATAACACAAATGTTGAGTTCAGCGTGGAGTTTTATGTTCATTGAGATGGGGGTTTTATTATATTTAATGTTTAGGCCCCAGAAGTATCAAGTTTCTTTCTTTACCCTTGGTCTCACTACTTTTTGGTCTCCATAAAGATCCAGCCTTTGCCTTTGCATATACTACTATTTCAGAATATTCTGCTGCTATACTTTTATTTTGCGACTGAGTCTCAGCTTTTATGACTATGACCTGGCCCTTCCTCTCTTCCTGTATCCCTAATCCTATTAAGAGAGGGACATTGGAAGTGACTCAAGCCAGCTGCTATTCTGCTGTCCCCATCCAGACAGGCTTTAGCCACTACCTTCTACTAGAAAGCAGACCTCTGGTTAGAAGATGCTGAGTGTAAAATTCCAGATTTAGTCTTCTCCTTTGCTTCAGCTAGCATTTCTATTGGGTGATAGAACTCCATGATCAAAAGCAACTTGGGGAGGAAAGGATTTATTTCATCTCTACACACCCAGGTAACACTTCCTCACTTAAGAAAGTTGGGACTGGAATTCAAATCAGGACAGGGTCCTGGAGGCAGGAACTGATGCAGAGGCCATGGAGAATGATGCTTCCTGACTTGCTCCCCAGCCTTGCTCAGCCTGCTTTCTTATACATCAAGCACCACCTGCTGCACTCCCAATGGGCCGGGCCTGCCCACTTTGCTCACTACTTAAGAAAATGAACCAAAAGATTGACACAGGGCATTTTCTCAACTGAGGTTCCCTCTTTCCACATGACTTCAGTTTATGGCAAGTTAAAATAAAACCAGGCAGGATACCCTACTATTACCCTAGCCACTGTAGTTGGAAGTTTTTTCTACCGTGCCTGATCCCACAAAACCAGTTTCTCTTTCACTCACTGGGTCCCTCAGCCCCTTATGAAATAACACTCTGAGGCGTAATATCAATCACAGTTGTTTGGCCAGTGACATCCTGATGGCTAGCTAGCTCTTATAATTTAACTCATTTCTGTGAATCTATGTATTGCCACAAGTCTGTGGCTTAAAGGTGATGCTCCCCTTGGTAGCTACTTGGTGTCTCCCTGACCCTGCCTCCCTCCTCTGCATCTTATTTGGATTTCCCTACCTATATTTTGCCTGGCTATTGGTTGAAACAGCTTTATTCATCAACCAATAGAGACAACACATATTTGCAGAATATAAAACGACATCCCATATCAGAACCACAAGAGTGACAAGTTAGCCAACTGGTCAGATACCTCCTTAGTAGTTTCCTGACTCCTGTTGCTGCCCCTGGGAAGCTCCCCTCCAGCTTTGCCTTGTTTCCAAATTTCAGGGTGGTGGTCAGGTTTGTGATGGGAGTTAAGGGGTGACTATGATGTTAACTGACTTTCAGGTTGCTTGGGTTTTCCTGCTGCCAGTACACGGGGGGCGGGGGGGGGGACGATTTCAGTTAGGTTATTTTCTGGGCCAACATGCTGACCCACTATTGTGATAGCCCTTTAATTTTCACTTATTCATTATCCTGGTGACCCTCAGGAGACATGTCGGAACATGTGCCGTGTTCCACACCCTACAGTTTCCTACTCATTTCTCATTTATTTCAAAGCAGAGACAATCACAGAGAAGGCATGCAGGTCCAAATGCTTTGCTTCCCCACGCTCCACTCCGGTCCTGAAAGCAGCTGCCATGCCTTCTGTTCGTCTGATAAGCTCTGCCCACTGAGCGTGTGTCTTTGTCATTGCATCTGCATGGGATGTTTGTTTCTTACTCTCAGTGTGGTGCCCCTCGTCTTCCTCAGGTCTTAGATGAAGGTTCCCTTGTCAGGATGGTGTGTTAGGTGAGTTTATCAACCCGTTGACAACGACAGCTGTGCCTCTTGCACAGCTCCTCCCGCCTTTTTTTTTTTTTTTTTTTTTTTTTTTTTTTTTTTTTTTTTTAATCATGTTTCTCATAGCACTCATCATGATGTTGCTAACTCTCTAAATGTATTATCTATATAGCCCGTTAGGTGGAAGCAACTTGGAGTTTTTTCCACTTAAAAATGTCAGTATTCTAAAGAATGACTAAGTCAGTGAAGTGCTTGTTTTGGGATTGTGAGGTCATGAGTGTCTTTCCCAGAACCCATGTCAAAGCATCCAAGCATGGTAATATTGCATTTGGCATCCCAGTAATAATGGGGACGCAGCGACAGGAAGATCC